CGGCCAGGCACCGCGCATGCCGCAGCGCTGAGCTGGAGCTGTGCCCAGCCTGCTTCTGAATGAAGACTCTAGCTGCCATTCCCAAGCCTATGCTCAAGGGCTTTTGCTTTGATGGCCAGTTAGTTAGCCAGACTAGACCATGCAGATAAAACACATCAATGAAACATCTGCTTGGCTTTTGGCTGCTCAACAGACTAGCCTGCAGCTAGAGACTGCTAGGGATAATTAACGCCTAATGAAACTGTTCAGAGTAAATTTTTCAAAGTTCAAAATAGAAGTGAGATAAACCATGAGTCTCTGTGGACCTGTAAGGCTTCATTAGCACAAGAAGTTTTATGGGTACCATATGGCAATGACTTAAAGGACAGAGTACAGCCAAACAGAAAGCTAGGGGAGAATTTATCCTATTCTTCCCCAGTGTTAAAGTGATTGTCTTTTTAATCCTAAATATTTAATTCCTTTTGATGCAGGTATACTCATCAGGGTGTGTCATGGTTACAGGGGCTGGTACCAGTTTGCCGTTATGTGGGTAGAATAAAAAACTGTATTCTATACCCTCTATGTCATTGCTCATGGGCTGTTAACAAAATCATGGGTAGCAGCTGCCCAGGACAGGCCTTAAACCCCAGGCTACAACAGACAAGGAAAGAGGTCCAGGGAGATGTTAACACCTTCCCACCCAGCAGGAGGAGTCCTCCCTGCTAATGGGCCCATCCATGCCTTGCCCCATGACTCATAGAGAACTCCCCCCAGGAGCTATTTCTGTTTAATGGACAATCAAGGACCCACTGCATGACTCATAGACTGATATCAACCCATTGTGAGATGCTCTGCCCAGGGGGAGGAGCCAAGTGCTCCCACCTGGATATAAACTGGGGTTCGGGACAGCACAGGGGGCCTTACCCACTGGATTTCCAGAGGACAAGAGCTACCAGCTCTTTTCTACGAGACCACTGCTTCATCTGGACTGCTACCACCACCCTAACTACAGAGTATCAGGTTGTATTCTGACTCTCTCTGTGGTCTTTGTACCTTTGCATTTCTTTTATTTTTTTCCTATTAAATTGTATTTCTGACTTGGAGTGTCTCACTGGCTTGCTTTCAAACCATTACAGGGTGTCAGGATTAAAAAAATAAAATATTTAATAAATGTAATATTTAAAGGAGAAATAAGAAATAGAATTACATAAAGGAAAAGCTGGAGCAAACTAATTAGACGCAGCTATCCTTAAGGAGCAGTGGTATTGAACACGGATAAAAACATGGCAGACATCACAGTTCTCCCTCTAGTACTAAGAGGAAATTCTTAAAATACATCTATAACCCCTGGAAAAGTGCTTGGATCCTCACACATACAGGACCAGACCTCTCCTAGTGTAAGAGAGGAAGTAGTCAGAGAATGTCATTGGGCATCTGGGAAAGCTGGGCTCTTTTTGGCTTTATTTCTCAACTCCTATAGCTAGATTTATTCACCTGGGAGTTGTACACAGCACTGTCAGGAAAGCCCAATTAGTCTGTAAGGGGAAGAAGATGCTGTGCTGGCACCGAATAGCCTCCTGCAGTCCTTCCACACCTGCATGGTTTTAGATCTTATGATATTGAAAAAGCTGTAAGCTGTGAAGAGAACCAGCATTACTAATAAATATCATGTTTTGCTTCAACGTGAGATTTATCTTTTGATTGAAAAAGAATAGAAAATGTGATGTTTATGAACTACAGAACTATCTGTCTCAATGCTTCTGGTGCAGAGCTGTAGGTGCCAACTACTGGAGTGTAATGCCATACTAGGAGGCAACACACGCTGTGCTGAGCCTACACATCAGCAAGCACAGCGCTGCTCCAGCAGCAGCGCAGGGCCGCCTTCCGAGCTCTGCTGGCAGCTGTGCTGCTGCCCATTCAGCGACTGCTAGCCCTGCGGCTCCAGGGGAAAACGCCGCGGGGACCGGCGGTCGCCTCTCGGAGAACAGCGCCGGGAGCAGGTGAGGATGAGCGGGAAAGAGCAGGGTGTGGAGCGGGGAGAACGTGGCGGGAGCACAGCGCCGACCGGCCCAGCGAGAGGCACCGCGCCGGGGCCGCCCCCCGCCTTCCTGCAGCCACAGCCCTGGAGAGCCACAACCGCTACCCTGTTAGGCACCAGCAAGTACTGCGCGGGAGCGTCTTCCGAAAATGTGTGATGACTTTCCCATTAAAAACAGCCCCACCCCAAATCACCTTGATCTTTTCACTTCCAAAGCCATTGTAAGCCTAATGAAGGTGAGGATGTGAGATGGTCACCTGGCTGCTTGCCACAGTTAATCCTATTAGAAATGAGGAATTTTTTAAAGCTACTCTTAAATGGGTCACAGGGACTAATAATGCAGCATGATCTGCAATACACTCAATGAAATTTTATATATAATGTTTCTCTCTGCATTAACTGCATACAAACACCCTTTTTAGGCCAATGTCTTTTCCACAACTAGAAAGTTAAAACATTTCCTTTAGTATCTCCAAAGTTACACTACTTAATGTTTCACCACCTCTTTCCAACAATAAAAGGTAACTCCATCCCATATGCCAAGTCTTTTATTTGGAGATGAAATGCATGAAACAATGACTTGAACAGGAAAGTCTTGCTCATGTTAAAGTCTTACAATGTTCTAATTTTATATTCCTTAAGACTACTGTATCATTAGGATATTATGAGGTCATTCTCATCAGAAATGCAAGACAAGACTAATAAACACAGTATGTAAAGGTGCAAGAGTGACTTTTCAACAGCTACATTAAAAAAAAGTGTGATGAAACATAAGAAACACCTGAATAGAGTATTCTGGTCTTTCAGAAGCTACTCTAGAAGAACAAATAACTTGATTTTTCTGACATGGCACAACAAGGGAATGTGCTGTATGAATTACTTATATCGGGATTTTTTTCTGCACACTTACATTTAACTATTATGACATAGGAGTCCCAAATTACTTTGCTTAACAAGCAAGATCACCTTCCAAACAAATTCAGAACAGGTACAGGATATAGTAAATGCAACCCCAGTTTTGCATAGATTTACTCATGTATGTTCAGTGCTAAAGTCAACAGTCCTCCTTAGTTACAATTAACAACGTAAAGAGACCTTAATGTGAACTTAAGTTAAATAGTCACTTCAAGACTCCTCTCCATTGCCACCAACATATAAGGAGTTTAGTGTAAGAGACCACAGTCTGTGACAAAAGACATTAGGGATATTTCTGTATCTTTTTGGGACCCAAATATTTATATGTTCAGACTTCTGCAGTGTCAGAACTGGATAAAGTCCAGTCATAAAGTAGTTAGTGTCTACAGGAGTAGATCTGTGTTCTCTAAGGTTATTCAATTAATATTTTCAGTCAATGACAAACTGAAGTTAAAAAGCCTTGCACAGAAAGCATGTAATTTAAAAACCTAATTTCATTAGGGTTATTCTGTAAACTTACTGGATTTTTAAAAAAATTGCATTTGATTTGCTGCTGAAAGTAATGCACTCTGTATTTCCCTGTTACTAAGAAACTTGCTTTTAAAAAATCTAGAAACATGCTTTCTAGGTACAGCTGTGAAGTTTGAATTTTGGTATAATAATTTAACCTGATTATTTTTACTAATTTGAAAGAAACAGATCAAAATATACCCCTTAATGAACTGTTCCCATAGAATATGGATTTTAAATTGTGTCAGAGGAAGATACCTGTTCCTGACCGTGCTGGGTTTTTTTTTCCCCCTCTGTACCCAGGTACTTTGTTGAATCTGTATTGTATTTGAGCAAATCATTCCTCTTGAATGATGTGTGCTTCATCTTATAAACAGAACAGGGCAGGGAGGGAGAGGGGAAAAATCAAGGAATTATTCCCTTTGAAATATGAGAAAATTTGCCTATGGGGGACCACATGATTAAGAATTTAAGAGACTTTCCTAGTACATAACAATGATTTGTGTTATATGAATACCTGCTGTGCCAAGAAAACAGAAGGTTTGTCAACAATACAGAAGGATTTCTATAAACTTGTATACATATTGAAAGAAATCGTGTTACAGTTTTTTCACATCTTCATCCAGTTTAAGACAACTGAAACCCTCTGTCATTCTGTAGGCTAATAAAGAGGCAGAACCTGAATTTTAAAAACCCCATCTGTCTCACCCTGTACTTCCAACAATTTTTTTGTTTAAGCTATGAACTTAAATGCCCACATACAACTTACAATTTTAATCACATTGTCTAGAATTTCCACTATCTCCATTATCAAATGAGAATCATTTGTAATTAGCACATCATCCATTATGATACATTTTCTTTTTGACAGCCTCCAGTTCTGCCATAATGCTCGATTCTCCTGTAATGCACTGGCTTGTTTTTTCACTTTCCATAACCTCATAGCACGGGGCCCCCACTTCCAGTTAGAGTTGTCTTAAAAACGGATTTGGGTATTAATTACAATGGCCAGGACACTTGGGTTTTCACCAAAGAGATGATTAAATGCAGGAAGTTTGTTTAATGACATCTGGCAGACTATGAACCTTGTGAGGACAAATGAGGATCTTGAAATAGGAGGATATCAAAACTAGTTTTTGGCAATATAGAAGACGTATTGTCCATGTAGTTCTGTCATAAGCTTTAAAAATACTCTTATTAAATAAGTTTTTCCTTCCTTAAGATCAGATAATACAGGAACCAGTAAGAGTCCAGGGATCAATTAAATTCTTAGTTATTCTCTATGAGCCTTTTTTTTTGGCTTTTCTTCGTAAGATTCTCCATACTCATTCACTCTGCTCTTATCCACAGGATAAAGCCTGGCAGAAAAAGAAGAATAGTTACAATATTGTCTACCACCTGAAGGAATTAAGAAATTAACTTTTAAAATTAAGTAGCTTTCTCATCATATTCTCTAGTCTCATTTGTGGAAAAAAACAGAACAGTTCTAAAGATTAGCTACAGACCCATCAGCCTCTTCACAGTAAGACCTAACCAGCTGTCTCACAACAGGGCCTCTTAAAAGATTTATTATCTGTCCTAGAACTCGGCTGGAGCATTTCTCAAGCAGTCCAGGATACCTCTCAAACTTGAAAGCAGTGCCCAGTCCCCGTCAGTGGCTGAGCTCTTTACTTCTAGAAAAATACCTTGGAAGGGAACCTACTTTACTACACTTAGGTGCAATTATATAAACCCCAAACTGAAGTCTGCATTTACTATTAATGATTAGTCAGATGTACACATCCATATATTCTGGTGTAACAGGAACTCGGCTTACAATTCCTGTTTGGTCCACTACAAATATTTCTTCTCGGGAACATGAACACACTTGCACTTGGGAACAGTATTTCAATGACCACTGCATACAGCCTTCTCCCCTGTTTGATTACTTAAAAGAATCTGAAACTCTCCAGATATTCGCTTTACAAAAGAGCCTAACTTGTGTTTGGAAATGAGATAAAGAGGAGAGCAGAGCTGACAATCCCTCACCAGAAAACATCCTTCACAAGTGCCTTGCAGAGCATCTTGGAAAGCATGCCTCAGATCCTGAGCCTCACTGAGCATGCAGCCCCTCAGCAAGGGTTAGAAGCCCAGAACTCCTACGTGGGTTTGTGAATATCAGCTTTAGAGTTGCTCTCCTGCACCTCATTACTTCAGGATTTCATGTCTCAAGTTGTGGGGTTTTCTTTTGTTTCTGTTTTTGTTTGGTTGGGTTTTTTTTCTTTTGCCCCCCCCCTAACTTGCAAATGTGAAATTACCTGCAGAACTTGCAGAACAGGAGGACTGCTGTTTTGGAGAGGGAGAAGGAGTAGCACAAAAAGGAGGTTCTTGACTATTCTCAGCATGCTAAGAAGGGTCCAGGAATACTGTCAGTCATGGGAAAACACTTTTGCTCCTCTTATTTATACTGCAATGTCCTTTTCAGGATCCCCTACTCACCCCATTCCCTTCACTAGCCAGATATATACAACTGCCATTACTCAGAGCATACTATATATTGCTACAGTATAAGAATTCTGCTTGAAGTCTATCCCAAACTATTTCACAGTTCTTAACAGCAGTAAGCCTGCAACCATGTACAGCACTGTTAAAACCCTGCT